AAATTGATTACAATGAATTGGTTATAGTTTTATTAACCTCTAGGCTATTTAGACAAAATAGTTGCACTGACACGGTAAGAGATGGAGAGAAAGCGTCGGGCCATATCTAAGTAAGAAATGAGAAGTTACGAAAAAAGGACAATAGGGGTGCCAAAAACAGACTCCTACTTCACTCACTATAGCAGCATCGTCTCCTTTGCTGACCTGCATGCTCACCGCTAAGTCAAGAGTTCGAGAAACATCGTTTTATGAGTATCAAAATGGATACAAAGACAAATAGTGACGATCAGCGAATAAGAGGGACGAAAATTGTGAAACCCAAGTAGCAGCTAACGAAGACAGATACGTATGGCCGACTTATCCAATAAAAACTTCTACGTGGAAAAAAAGAAAAAGAACATAATAAGAAGACCGCTAGACATATTACCGTCTTGACATCCTATTTTTTTAATCAGTCTTGATTAAACATTCAATCAGTGATTTGAAGAGGATTCACCTATGAGAGTGGTTAATTCGATATCCAAGCAGATAAAAATTTCCAAAAACACATTTAATCGTATTAATAACGGTTCCTGTTTGGTTATTATCAAACGCTTTTATAAAACACCAAAATTTGTGTGAGAGCGCTTTAAAAAATAACCTCTGTATCAAGAAAACGTCTAAAAGGTTTTTCCAATAGTATTTTAGCCTGTTTTACACATAGAAATGGCTTTTTTATGCTCAGTGCGTGTCAAAAATGGTGTGATAAAAAATTTTAAACGTTTTTCTTAAACGAACATTATCTTTTAGAGCGCTTTGCGCAAATTTTGGTCTTTTTGAAGGAGGGTTAAAACGTTCAAATAGGAACCATAATTGGTACGTTTAAATACAGGTTCGAAAATTTCTGTTTTCTTAGGTAGTGAACAGGTGAGTGAGTGCTACAGCCGTACGTCGATGTTTTATCACATCGATTGGCAAGCAAAAGTCGAATAAAGTGAATTAAACAAGCTCACTGAAGAACTTTGGTACAATCTATAAAGGAGCTATACATTATATAAAATATGGATGTCATGTTAAATGCAAATGAAATAAATAAACGGATAGTTTTATTAGTTATATGTACGAATAAAAAATATTGTGAATCACGATGACTGATGGAAAATAGATCAAAATAAACAGAATACACTGAAAAAATGAATAGAACATAGATAAATAAGCAAAATATTGCTAAAATGCAGTACATGTGGCACAGTCTAAGTCTTGATCAAAGAGCCAAATTCATATTAGTATCCGTAGATTAAGAATATTATTCTACAGCGGATAACACTGTTGATTTTTTACTGGAATATTGACTGAAACTTGGGAATCATAGAATCAAATTATCGTATATTGGCGATGCATGCTAGAGATCATCAGTCGAGTTGAGCATTTTTCAACGATTTTGATATCTTTTTAATGAAATTTAGAAAGCTCTTCCAAGTGTGCCGTTCTGAGACTACTGAAAAAGTAAATAGAACTCTATACTCTTCCCTTGTTCAGTTTCATTCTAACTCTTATACTGCATTCCATAATGCAATTTGTACCACGATGAAAAGAAAGTCTTGATGAACTGATTTCTCAGAGACCTGGCTTTCATCCAAGAAACGCACTCGTCTGAAACTCAGGCTTCTAGTACGTTACCAGACGGTGATAATCTCGTTCTCAAGAATGTAGAAAGGCGTGTGAAGTCTCAAGTGCATAAGTTTTCGCCGATTGCGATAATGATTGATTCAGCTAGCATATTCCCGGTCTATCTTGCGATCATTATCAACCTTATAAACTGTTTGATGAAAAAACGCTACGATAAAAACTAAAGATGAAAAATAGAAAAAATACTCATCCACATACTACATCAATACTTGATACGTAATAATATATAAAAATCTAAAGATATATATTTAAATTTTTTATGTATTATACTGTATAAAATAGAACATAAAAGTTGAATAGTATTTAATTTATTTGAAAATGAATTATTTTTCAATCACAATTATCTAATTACTTTGACATACGATTATATACGTTATTAGGATTATTTTAGCCATTGTTAACTACTGATGATTGATATTGATTATGAAGTTAAAGATGATCGTTATATTAATATTATTATCTGACACATGATTTGATATTAACTATTTTTACGATGTTAGTGGACATATTTGTTTTCTTTTCGTGTTAATGCTGTTTTTCTTTCCATCTTGTTGCTTTTGCTGTAATATTAAGTTTCCATCAAATAGTTTACAAAATTGATAATGGTCGCAAGAAAGACCGAAAATTTCCTATTATATAAACTAATTATTATACATAGCCATAAAACCTATCTTCAAATTTACTCATTTGCCCATATAGTATAAAAAATCTAGAATTTGAGTACTCAATTTTTAAAGCATTTGAATTATTAAAAGTCTATAGTTCTGAGAGAAGTTTGAAACTCGTAACAAATTGACAATTTCTGCATTACTGTTTCATTGATCAAACTTTTTTCCGTACACCATTTACTTTGGTCACGGGACGGTATATGCAAGATATGCTATTGGTGGAAAAACAATCAATGTAAGCAGCGGTACAAGAAGGAGAAATAGATAGATAGATAGATGGCTGCTTCAGATGGCTTTAGCATTGAATAAAAAGAATTTCTATCTCGTTACCACTTCATTTCTGACGCACCTTTCTCACTACTACGCAGTACTTTATGTATTTGAATCAAACGTACGCAATAAGATGTATATAAAAAACAAAGAAATACAAAGAAGTCCCCACCTAGCGCCAATGCCAGGATTTTCGGTCAATAGGAATCTTAGGTCTCTCTTTGGTAGTCTTCCCAAATCAAAAATAAAATAGTGGAATTTTTTAAAGTTTTTTTAATATTCAGACACATTGTTTATTCTATACTGAATAAGGAAATTGCACTTATGTGCAGAAAACTTGTCCTACTTTTATTTAGGACATCTGACAATACAACTTAGCATAACAAAGACTAAATGTTGTTTTGATTACTTGAAAGCCTATCTACTACTCGTTTATATAATTATTATTAAAACCATATTTAACAGCCAATATTGTTCAGGGTGTGTGTGGGTTGTTGTTTTGAATGAAATAAAGAGTCACATACATACCTCACCCACATCCTCAAGCTACTACATTTATTCTCATTTATTAGAAATTGAATTAAATTTCATGTATTATCTCACTTATACATACTCATTTCTTTTATTTCTTTCTTAGATTCTTGTTTTACTTCGATTCTAGGCGAGGTTTATATCATTGTACGATTTCCTGTGATATCAAATAATGTGAAGCAAAAGAAGATAACTTCGTGAATACGGATAAAAAGTGTGTAAATTTTATAAAAACCGACTGAAAAATAGGTTCTTTGACTTCGTCAAACATATTATGTCTTACATGGATACATCGAAAAACCGGTTACGGGAAGAAATAGTCTCAAAACTTAACCACACCGGAAACATAGGTGTTTCTAAGTATATTCAAGCATTTCTATGTATTTCTGTATTTTAAAAATGCATGAGAATACATAGAAATACGAAAAAATGGAAATACCTTTTTCCCCCTTGACGTGATGTCACTGGTATATATTGATGATGGAGTGTGTGCGCAAAAGTTTGCGGACTTCTAGCCCTTACCTTGACTGAGACCCTAGGAAGAGAGAAACTTTTGAACACGGGTACAATTTTCTCATTATGAGTTGAATTCCTGCATTTTTTGATTGTTCTGGATCTTCTGGAACAACATGAGCTAAAAAAATAATATCTAAAGTATCAATATCTCTTGAATTCTGTGAATTGTAAATCTCTGGATCATGTGAATGTCTCAGCAACAATATTACACTAAGATAATGTCTATTACTGAACAGAAACATCATAAACAGCATATCATGTTGTTGTGAAGAAAAATGATATTATTCTTGAACTTCAATGATCGAACGAGAAGAAGCATGAAATTTGTTCGACGTCCACTGAAACACAAAGATAATGTGGCTGTCATATTCATTATGACAATCGATCCAAATAAAGTATCGGCTTCAACTACCCCATTCACCCTGATTGATTATGACAGTGCTTAACCACAAGAACGAGAAATTCTCTTTTTCATGCACACTGTTTTTTGTATTGATAAAATCAAATAGACGGTCAATAATAGTCGTCTATGGGAAGTACATTTGACTCTCACCTATGAAACTGATCAACAGCTGACTGTTCTCACCAAGTGCATACAACAGGAGATTGATGGCACTGGATGGCATCGAGTGGGTCAGCTGATGCTCAAAGTGGGTCACTTCAATCAAGCTGAAGAACTTTACAATGAACTACTCAAGAACTCCTCCAATGAAAGTGACAGAGCATATATCTATAACCAGCTTGGATGTATGAAAGACAACCAAGGTGAGTACAAAGAAGCAATTGCATTTTATCAAATGTCTATCGAAATCAAGCGAAAAACTCTCCCAGCAGATCATCTTTCATTAGCTGATATCTACAATAATATCGGTCAAGTGTATGACAACATGGGTGACTACTTAAAAGCACTTGGATTTCACGAAAAAGCACATCAAATTTACGAAAAATCTCTGTCTTCAAATCATCCTTCATCGGCTACTTCCTACAGCAATATCGCTGGAGTGTATAACAACACGGGTGACTAATCAAAAGCACTTGCATTTTACGAGAAAGCAATTAAAATCCAAGAAAAATCTCTGCCTCCGAATCATCCTAAGTTGGCTACTTTTTACAACAACCTTCGTATAACTTATAACAACATGAGTAACTACTCGAAAGCAGTTGAATTCTTCAAAAAAGACCTGGAAATCACAGAAAAAGCTGTCTCTCAATCATTCTAGTTTCGCTTCTACATACAGTTGGTTAAGAAAAGTTTATCGTGGCCTGAAAGATTACACTAGGGCACTAGATAACTTCGAAAAAAGTCTCGTAACAGTTCAAAAAACATTATCAGAAAGATATCCCAATATGGCTGTTGCATACAACCATATTGGTGTTGTTCATCGGTTAATGGGCGCTTATGAAAAGGCACTTTCATTCCATCGAAAAGCATTAAATATTCAAGAAAATGTACAATGCAATCCTCTGCAGTGTGCAACGACATATATATACTTCGGTGAAATTTATCGAGAAATGGAAGACTATTTATTTTCATTGCCAAATTTTATAAAAGCATTAGGAATTCGTGAAAATAAACTACCAAAAAATCATCCTGATTTAGCCGTAGTCTATCATAATATGGCGAAATTATATTTGGCTACTCGACAATATAGTATACCAATGAAAAATGTTCAACAAGCGCTAGAAATCGCTCAAGAAAAATTGCTAACAAACCATCCTCATTATTTGGACTACAGAGAAACATTTTAAAAAAATCCGAAAGCAAATGTAACATTTTGGTTTTTTTTCTTTCGACTTGTTCAATAAATTGATTCTTGATGGCTACTATTCCTAATATCTAGACTTTCTCGACTACGTACCACTCGTATGCGCACTAGCGACTAGGGAAACCCTTTGCGAACCTGAAGGGGTACACGCAGAGCGGACTAAATTGGACTCGGAGATAATATGTCCGTAAGCATGTCACACACAACGTACGACAGGAACCACAAAAATATAGAAATCTTCCCAAGAACGGCACTGCTTCGTTTCTCAGATAAAGAGATTTCTTGGGATCAGGTTAGAGTGTGGATGTGGATGTGGGGTATGCATGTGACCCGTTATTTCGTCCAAAAGAACAACCCACACCCATACTCACCTACATACGGGTGACAAAAAGTGTAAAATTTGTAAAGGAAGTGGGACTGCAGTAGCTCGAAGTATGGGAGTCGAGCTTTTTTCTTCTTGAGAATATGCAATTAGTTAATGAGGTCTACAGATCATGAAAACCAGCAGAAGAGAGGGACTAGAATATAAAAGAAACGTTGACTTTTGATGAAGACATTGTACAAAAATTGGCACATAAGTCACAGGGCTAAGTAGAACGATCTCGAAAGCAAAAGTCTGATTTAGTTTTTTGATTCAGTACATCAGCAACTAATCTCGCTCTCACGCACATTTCTCACTTTTATTTCTTTGAATAAACAAAAATATTCAAGTATACAAGCTCATTCTATTTTAGCCCTTTGTCATTTTCTATATTTCATTAATGAACATAAATTTCTTGCTATAAACGATAATATCCAGCTAGTTCTAGAGTGTAATTTATATTGGAGACAAATGAAGCAATGAACAAGAAAACCTATATCACTTTAATCAATAATCTTATATGAACGTCGTCTGTTTTGTATCGTCTCATAGATACCTAATCTATAAAGCAACTCATCGAAAAGAATAATCATTTTTATTTGATTTCATTCTCATAGATTTCATTATACTCTGCACTGTGAAAGAATCTTGATTAAATGAATAGCAGATTCAGTTCTAAACTAGCCTATCAACTACATAATGTGTAAATGACATTTTCGAAAGCTATCAGATCCATCACATGATACAATGTCAGCAAGCAATCAAAATTATATTTATTCGTCTCAAACTCCCATTTTTTACCCAATGCCTCCTCCCTTCTTAAAAATAGTATAATTCGATAGACAATCAAATTATATATATAACTCAACTAATTAGAGACTAAGAGAAGCACAGAAACAAATGTTAACAATAAATGCTCGAATCTATTATCAACTTTCCTTATATACAGATCAAAGTTTTTTTTTCTCGGAATGATGGATATGTATATTCAAGATTAAATGAAGTTGAATATTCTTTTTTCGAAAACATTAGTGTTTTTTTGAGAAAGCAATTATTGGAAATTACAGATTTAAAATCTTCAAAAACGTTGAAAGTATCAATTTAATATTGGCTTATTGCTTTATTGTCAAATAAATCTTTCATATACAAACGAAATTAAATAAGCCACTAGTCTTAAGAACTAATTTTCAACTATGTAGTGATGACAGACACCATATTTTTGCTGACGTATCAGTATTTTGCGTATAGTTTTTTAATTAGTATCTTGAATTGAAATATGATCTATTTCCATTTAAAATAAAACTTATTTATTTGATAAAAATTTAGCTTAAGCCTATTGTTTTTTTTGTATCCTTCAAAGAGAAAAATAATCGATCGCTTTTCTTCCACGAATAGTCTTGTCAATAAGTATAAGTATCAAGGACAATATTCTCTATATAAAGGCTTTCTTTCATATTTTAACATATACTTTCTTTAAGAGCAACATAGAAATGTTGACCGTCTCTACCACCATCGTGCTCATTGTTTTTGCTTCCATCGTTAGTGGACAAATTTTAGAGCATATTGAAAATGGTAAACTATGTACTGGATGGCAAGCTATTTCTCGCTCATCAGTTGATGTCAATACTGCGCAATGTTCAGGTAGTCTTGGTTATGAATTAGCTCAAGTTTCCGCCATGTTTGCAATACGTTTCTGTTGCCCCTATCAACAAGTGACCCCACCCATTGTTGCACCTGCACCAACTGAATGTGGTCGTGCAGCAGTTGCTCCAATACGTACACGAATTGTCGGTGGACAAGACGCAGCACCACACTCTTGGCCTTGGCTTGTTTCTCTTCAATATCATGGAGGCCATTTTTGTGGTGGCACTTTAATTGTAAATAATAATATATTATGAAAAATCAAACATATAGTATCATATTTTAGGATGAATATCATGTTTTAACTGCCGCTCATTGTCTTCAAGATAGCTCAATGTTTAATTCAAATTTGAAGGTTGTAGCCGGTCTTCATGCACAAAGCAGACCCAATGAATCACAAGTTCAACATAAACAAATTGCAAGCATAATGAATCATCAAGGATATAATGAGAATACACAGGAAAATGATATTGCTATCATTCGTTTAGCTTCACCTGTTCGACTCGATAGTTATGTCAATGTTGCTTGTCTTCCACAAAAAGATCCTGCTGTAAATGAAAATGTTATGATTGGTATGTAAATTAACAGAATTTAAAAAAGAATTTATTTATTCAAATCGAATCATTTAGCTGGTTGGGGTACAACATCATTCGGAGGCAGTTCACCAGATGCACTTCGTCAAGCTAATGTCCTTATCATGAATTCATGTTCAAGCGTCTATCGTTATGATGATAGCAAACAAATGTGTGCCGGTAATCACCAATTTACAAAGGATTCATGCCAAGGTGATTCTGGTGGTCCACTTATGCATGAAGCTAATGGTAAATGGGTAATTAGTGGAGTTGTTAGCTATGGTCATGAATGTGCTAAATTAAATTATCCTGGTGTTTATGCTCGTGTTAGTCATTATTTACCATGGATTCAGAATGCAATCGCTACTTTATCGGCACAATAAATGCTTGATATGTGATATAAAAAGCACATTTTATTTTAGAAAAAAATAAAAAAAAACTTTACCAGTTAATTGTGCATGATTCTGTTATTGACAACTGTCTTTTATTGATTAAAGATATATACGATTTAAGTTTTTCTTTATAGCCAACATTTAGATATCATCAGATTTCAAAAGATACAAAATTTAAACACACAATATTGTGATCAAATGTTTTCGATACATTTTACATAAAAAAATGACTGAACTAACTAGTTGCATATAAAAGCATTGTTTTATGTTAATGTGAAACTACTGTTCATCCATTTAATCTGTTTCATGTATCCATCGATAGCTTTTCTCGACCTATATCCGACACACTTGAGTGTAGTTTTCAAAAGCATCTGCATATTATCCTTGATCATGATCAAGATTTCCCGAGCTGATGAATTGATGAAAAAAATAATAATAAAAATTATTCTACATATTGTTCGCTTGTTGAATTTCAGTCATACGTAAGTGCACTACATGATAGAGGCCATTCTTGTTTAACTCTCTCTCTGTCGATAGACGAAATTTTTCAATTCTTGGTCCTCATCTCATTAATCTAGATATCGATCAAACTGAACTCTATGTAAATAGCTTTGTTTAATATTAGTAGAATACAGATCGATACATTTGAAACTTCTCAATGGTAGAATTACTCTGTTTAGGAATATTGACGAATCTAAAAAAATTACATTCCGTTGATAGTACAGACAAGATATTGACCGCTAAACTGCTCCCTATCATAATGTATACTATGCTCGTCTTACAAGCCGTCAATAGTATCCGTTTCGATCGATCTGTGTAAAAATAAGCTGCTTCTCGAACGACACAGTTATTTAATAGAAATGTTAAACAGATCGACTTTTTACTGGTTGACAGAAATTCCATGGGTTCCAAGTCTGACATAGAGTAACATCAGATTAGAAAAACAATGCTATCTGTGTTAAAACTATTATACAATAAAGAATAATAGAAAATTACGAAATCCAGTGTATCTTTTGTTATATCTGTTTTGAACAACGAAAAAAATTTAACAGTATACAAACTGTATCAGGAAAGAAATAGTCTTTCCTTTCTTCTATCGACATCGAAAGCTTGTTCATAATAAAAAAACTTTACATGCTTGTCATCAGAACCAATCATTATATCCATAAACTCTATATAGGTTATATGACAATTTATAATCTATACTTGAGACCTGCGCAGTCAAATTTTGTTCCCGTAAAACAGCTACATCTTATCTATACGGCGATAGTATATAATGTAATATTACACAAAGATGATGACAATATATCGAATGACGTAAGTTAAAATATTGAATGACGCTAATCTTTTTGCTTAAGAATCACTTGCGAAAATTCATCTGATGTAGATATTTTCTTTTGTTTGTTTTTTTCTACTTAACTTGCTTTCATGCTATACGGCTATTGGATTCACAATTTTTATTTATTAGACGATACAGTTGTTAGCAATGAATGCTACACAAGAAAAGAATGAAATATGATTTTCAGAGTTTCGATAATTCAAATCGATCTGAGACGGCATATGTTAAGATATAATCTTATCAATTTATTCTTCATTTAGATGCAATATATGCATGCAAATATGACAACTATCGACATGTCGATAAATAAACAAACGAGAAAAGGAGAGAAACATTCTCAAGACTAAATAGAAAAAAATATGTTTTTTTATGTACATCAATACTGGTGACAAAAAAGCGTGAAACGATTTGAAATAGGTTTTTTTTTTCAACTTTTTATAAACAAAACTATCATACGAACGTGGTGAAGGAAAAAAGTGGGGATATGTACGAGAAATTTTTTAATACATAACCTAGTCGACATACAAATTTCAAACAGTGTAGAAGCGATGCAGAAACTTTTTTTTCTCATCCAATAGCTTTGCTTTCGGTAAAAAAATCAACAGTTGCTGCGAAAAAAAATAATAAAAAATTTCTAAATGTAAGGAAGAAGTACGTACCCGACAATCGTCAACTTCTTTTTATTATTCTAAGTAGTTATGTTCTTACATAGGACTCTTCATAAATAACAGTTGTAAACTGATTTATGTTAATACAAATATGAAGAAAAATTTTTTGGAGTCACACTACTACTGTATTTGTTGACAAAAATTCTAACTTGTTTTTCTTACATAGTTTTTGAATATTATTCTCTATTCAAGGCAAATATATCCTAACATGAAGCGTGTTTCATACTTTCTCGATGCATATAAAATATATGCAATATGATAATAAAAACAGAGAGAAAAAAATTTAATTATTTTTCTTTATTGTAAAAATCAAATCAAAGTAGATTAAATACATTCAATAAGTTGACAAACAAAACAAAAATCGAGGAAAAGTCAAATAATAATAAAAGACAAGGAAGTTTGTTTGTTGCTATTCGAATAATTTGCAAAATTCGTCAAATGAAAGCTTTCCATCATTATTAACATCTAATGATGAAAGCATGGATTGAAGTTGATTTTTACTTAATTGTTTTCCCATACCCGAAAAAACTTCTTGAAGTTCATCACATGTTATAGTACCACTTCCATCTCTATCAAATTTTTTAAATGCATCTAATAATTCATGTCTAGAGTATTTTTTAAAAAATGATCGAGCCATAGCATTTTTAAATTCTACAAAATCGATGTCACCACTATTATTCGTATCCATTTGTTTCAATAAGGTTTCTGTTTCTTTAGGACTTGCTTTTATATTCAATGCTTTTAAGACTCCTTGTAATTCATCTGCAGAAATTCTTTGTGAATGATCTAAAAATTTCAAAAAAAATTCGTTTTTAACTCTTGGATTTCGTTTTGTTTTTATTATCCTACATACCTTTATCAAAAAGATCGAATGCAGCACGTAATTCACGTTCCTGACTTTGTGTAAGTTGAGCCATAACTGAAGTTCTGAAATAGTTGTTTTTTTGCAAATAAACTCCACATCATTTCGTCTTTTAAACTGTGTTTTTTTTCTGTTCTTTGTTTGTTGACAGCATTTTCGCCAAAAAAAATGTCTGATCTGCTCGGTTGTTACTCTCTTGACTAGAAAAGAATAATAAAAATGAATACTTGTTGTTAGAAATAGAAAGAACAGTAAAAATAATTAAAAATCGTCATAAAATATAATTTTTCTTTACTCTTAGATTTTTATTTTCAATCTTATTCAAATTTTTTTAACACTTCATTAATAAGGCCTCTTCAAAATCGCAAATTTTAGTGCTTTAATTATCGAAAATGAGCAATGAAAGACGTACATTATGACTAACAGAATCATAAAATCATAGATGGATATTAATTGAAGGTCTTCATTATTATATTGTGATCTTCTAATAGAAGATTACTCATTAGTATTAATTGTAAAATATTTATCAATATGATTAATAGAGTCAAATGATTCATGAAAACGACAATAATCTCCATGAAAACCATACTGATAAGAATATTACACAAATAAAATAACAAACGATTGAGTTGTAGTAATATGTAGCAAGCCTCAAAAGTTTTGATTGCTCTTTGTTTTCTTTACAACAGTACAGACGATCTCTGATAAGCACGACGAATTATCGATAACATGTCTCGTCTATAACTGTTTCTTAATGATCAATAAATGAATATAAATTGCTCAATCAAACAAGAATATATATATATTTTTTGCTCATTCATCATCATTTCAGTTTTTCAACAAGCATAACAAAACGAAATAGAAATTTTTGTACATTCAACCACTGTTCTTTTATAATAGATATACAAGTAAACTTATGATGTAATACAGAAATGTATACCGACATAAATTATCAAATTTTATTTTATTTGAATTATCATAAATTATTCTAAAATAAAGATACAGGTCTAATTGTTTTCTTTTTGATTTTAATATGCACATCCAATTAAGCATTTATTGTTATGTCATACGAATATCTTAAGATACAAAAGAAGATGAAAACCAAATGTTTAGATACGTATTAAACAAAAACTACATATTTGCTCTTGCTGAAGATCATTGTGTTGGATAGTGATGTTATTTTTTTAGAATGTGACGTGTTAGAAAAGAGCTATTTTTCAGTTAATGTGTAATTTTGTAATTCTAATTTAATTACGAAAGACTTTTATTTGCAAAAGAAAAATGAATTTAAGTTTGACTTGACCTAAGTGGTCTTCTCTATGAGAATTTTTTTTATTTTTATAATAAAAAAGAACAAAATAAATCATTCGATTTCCTAGAAAAAAAAACGGGCCAGACTAAAGATCTTTCCCTGTTGTTGTTTTCGTACTATCTCGTGCTTTTGCAATATTTCGTTGTAATTCTAAATGTTCAAGTCTTTTCTTAGCACTTCGTTCTCGAAATAAATCTGTGACAGAAACAGGTTGAATACCTAAAAAAAACAACATCAGAAATCAAATTTATTAATAAGACAACAACAACAATAATGAATCAACCTTCTTGATCTTTTTTCTTTTCAAATAATGTATTATATGTAACAATAATTGAAACAAATAAAACTGATGCCATAATAATAGCATAACGTTGTGGCATTTTCTCAGGGTCAGCTAAAAAAGATCGTCGTATTTGTCGACGTAAATTGTCATTGATTTGTTTAAAAATTTGAAATACCATATCTAGAATACTTAATGCACAAATTAAAATTTTAACTTTACGATTTGTTTTTTTTTTGTTATATTTGTTTTGTTTTCAATGAAATCAATTATTGTTATTGTTCATATGCAATTCAAATCTAATATTATTTAAAGAAATCAAATTCTTATAATTCTGTATTATATCTGTTTTTTTCACACACGCATTATGGATTTTTATGTTTTGTTTTTAACAGAAAAATGCCTTAGCTAGCGCGCAAAAGAAAAAAATCGAGTATGAAGAAGAAAAAAAAACGACTATAAACAAACAAACACACATAAACAGTCCTAGAGAAAAGAATTTGAATAATAACGAAGAAAAACAGAAAAACCAAAATAGGACGCTTTTCATTATTATCATCATCATTATTGTTTCATATATATATATACACATGTAATTGTGAGTAAAGAATAAATGTTATGTCGACGGAGTATAATGGATTGTTTTCTTTTAAGAGCACAAACAAAAAAAAAAAATAAAAAAAACAAAAAAAAGAACTCCGTGAACGATTGTTTCATATAGACAAATATAAATAAATAGAATTAGAAGCGAAAAAAAAACAACAACATATAAACAGAAATAAAGAGATTTAATTCGTACAAGCTCGAAATTAAAATTTATTGAATCGTAGGAAAATGCTATTTATTTTTTGTATATTGAGACAGAATAAGTTAAGAGAGATATGACGATCAAGTCATGGGTGAACGTTCTAATGAACCTTCACGACTATTATTGTCTTTTTGTCGACTGCTTAAATTATCCACTTTGTAACGACGACGCCTAAAACAAATAAACAATTTAATAAAAATTATTTGTTTCCTAATTTACGAGAGAATCTTCACAACTTGTAAATTTCCTTTTTAGTTCGGACTCTGTGCATAAGGTAGACTCTAGAAATACAATCGATCTGAAATCCACATTGATATTCGACTGACGAGTTGCCATATTATTCTATCTGTGTATAGTAATATTTGACATAGTCAAATTTCAACAAAATTTGAATACATATTCTCGATGAGATATTAATAAGCGGAGGTTCTCTAGTGATAAAACGCTATTAAGCTGGAACTGACGGGTGACTCAGAACAAATGGCCACACTTTGTGTTTCATGGTTTTAATCGTTTAACACGTTGCATTTAAAAAGAATACCACAAGACGCAGCGAAAAAGCTCTACAATTTACATAAGACTACTTATTTTATAGTTACACGTTTTGTTTTCAAAATGGACAAAATTTAGAGCGACCAAATTTCGACTGTGTAAAAATTGGTTACGTAAAATTTTGCCTATTTTCAAAAGAATCACAATAAGCTTTACGATGTAAATAATAGGGCTTTTCACGCTGCATCTTGTGCTATATTTTGTTTTTTTTAAATATTATTTGTTTAAAGATAAAAAAAGATGAAACACAAAGTGCGACCATTTATTCTGGACAACCTGTTATATTCAATCGGTAGAGTTTAGTGAGCAAGTAACCGATCTAGAGTGATTCGAATTATTGGGCCTTTGTTGATGAGATATCAAGTTTTTGGAAGATTTTTCCCGTAGAGTCTTAGTTTTCAAGCGAAGTTATATTTTTGAATTTTGACCGGAAACTTAAATCACATAAACGCACAGATTAGGGTAGCTTGCAGAAAACGTTTTACAAAATATTTCACCAAGTCATTGTGAGATATGAATTTTTTGACGCATAGGCGTTTTGCCATGATTCATTGTTAATCAGTATGGATACTTGGGAAAATTCATTTGTCGGAGATACTTGCTTAAAAATTCTGAAACTTTTTCTACAAACTAGTCTAACCGGTCTCTTTATAAAGGGTTTTTTTTCAGACTAAAATTCAAAAATACGATTTTGCTTGAAAACTGAGATTCTACAGGAATAATTCACTAAACATTCGAAAAACTCAACAATAAAAACGCAGTACCTCGAATCAATCCAGAATATATAGCTATTCATGAGAATCTATAGATTGAATTTAATTCGAAATCGAAAGTCATTTACTCCTTGAGGATCTTTCCTTGACAGGGAAACGCTGAATAAGACACACTAGTAATCAACATCGGTTCCATCTCTGATAAATTTCAATGAGATATTATAAAAGCAAAAAGGATCGAATGGCTATATTTTAACCTACAGTTTTACCCGTAGATAAACCCACTTGTAACTAGAATGTCCTGAAAATTTCAGCTCAAAACATCGTTTCTTTCGCGATTTCAAAAGTCTCATTTAGTTCAACCTTATACCCAAGGTTAAAGTACAAAAAAAAGCTTTCAAGTGAAGAGGATTTCTTCATCAGTTAATCAATGTTATATTATTCCTAACAAAGATATTTTTAGTTCTTCATTTTGAAGACTTGATTACAAGATAAGATTGCCCTATTTGTACAAGATTCATATAAGATAGAGAAAGATGTTGGCAGATGTAAAAAGAAATGTGTAAAAAGAGATGAAATTATCTCCCAATTGTCTGATTATGTGTCATGTCTCAAACAAAATTCGATGAAAGACGACAGATATCATTGCAAAAGAAAACACACATAGTTATCTCAAAAGTAAACACAGATAATAAGTAACTCGTTTGCTTTATAATTTGTTTCTAACATTTCATTGTTACTTTAATACAATCTTCTTCGAAAACCTATTCTCTTCTATGTAATCTACAAACATTCCTACATATAATCATTTAATAAAACATTCCAAGAAAAGAATTTTTTTTCTTAGCAATGTCCTTGACTTTCTTCTTGGAATTTTATAGCCTAGACTGATACAAACATTCAATCGACCTGTGTAAAAAAATTACTAATCTATTTATGATTCTGTTGAATCAATTTTTGTTCAAAAATTATAATATACCTTGCATTCTGACTGGGTATGCCAGGCGGTGGTTTAGGTAAATGACTAACAGTTGATGAACTAGATACATCATCAAGTAATAAATTATTACTTGACGATGAATGTTGTAAAGGTTGTTGACGACGTTGAAACTCTGTAACTCCACTTAAATAATTATGTTGTTCAATACTTGCATGACTTGATGAATTTCCAAACATACTACCAACAATCGATGTTGGATTATTTGTACCATTATTATTTTGATAATAAAATGATGATGAATAATAAGGATAAAGATTATTAGTATTATTTATTGATGTTGTTATTGTGGACGGATTTATATTTTGATTTGAACGATTTGTCGATAATGATGATTGCTGTTGATAATAAACATGATGTGGATTTGTTGTTGAAGCTGATGGTGTATCAAATAAATCTTTATAAGATTTACTACGTTGCATACGATCAGCTAAATTAGTTGTTGTAGTTGTTGATTGTCTTGTAAGTTGTGTATTTGAAGCAAGATTTGGTCTTGTTGTTATTTGTTGTGTTTGTCGATTCATAAGATTATTTAATGTTTTATTTGTGGACGGAATTACTGATGATTGTTGAAGTGATGAACGACGAGAAGAATTTGTTGATTGATAATAAGCATTATTATTATTGCTATTATTATTATTAGATGATGATGGTGATGAATTTTTTTCATAAAACATTAATTTTCTATAAAAATCATCACCACGATGATTTTCAAATGTTGCTGATGATATACGGCTACCATTTGAAAAACGTTGTTGTTCATTTTTCGATTCATCATTACTTTCATTAGTTCTTTGTTCATCTTCATAATGAACTAAATATAAAAGAAAAAAAGAATTAATTCTATGATTATTATTATTGTTTTCTTTAGCAAATAAAATTAATAATTATTTCTTAAGAAAAAAAAAACAAACATTGATGATGATGAAATGGAAATGTGCAATGTTAGTTAATTAGGGTAATACATGCAAACCATAAACAAATAAATGCATGCTTGGTCGTTATTTTTTTTTGTTCTTACTTGAACTTTGTATTGTTGATGGTTGAATATATTTTTGATGGTAGTTTTTTTTTAGAATCGATGTTGGTGAATCATTTTGTGTTGGAGGTTGTAGGGAAGATGTATTTGATGATGTACAATACTTAACAAGACTATCATTAGCAAATGAACGATTTAATTGTTCGGTTGATTTAGCTATTAAACGTGAACCATTAAATGGTGGTGGAACAAAATTATATCCGCGAGATTTTATTTGTTTTTGTTGTTGTTGTTGTTGTTGTTGTTGTTGCTGTTGTTCATCGACGGGTAATGATGATGAAGAACTAGATGAATTAGATGATGTAGGTCGAATAGATGATGATCCCATAGTAGTTCGAGGTTCATAAGGTGATATTCCGTTTTTTGATGATTGTGATGGATATTGAGTACCTCCTAAATTTCCTACTGTCCCTGAGTTTCCATTTCCTTTCATCATCATCAATATTGTTGACGTATTCGGGCTTGGTCGCACCGAAGTATCAATAAATGTAGATGAAGGTATATTTCTAGAAAAATTATCACCCATTATACTTGATGGCATACTTGATTGAGAATGTATTTGTTCATTATCTTTTCGTTTGAATTGTTGTTGTTGCCGCTGTTCATCATCATTTTCTTCATGTTCATTATGTTCCTTTTCACCTTCACCCGCAATTTCGTCTTGTTCATATTCATTATCTGACAATCGATTAGCACCGGCATAGTTATTATTATTTCGATTTGATATTCTATTAGGTTGACGACGAAAGTAAAGATTTTTCGAATCATCATTTAACGTTGTTGTTGTTGTTGTTGGACGTGATAATGATGTGATATTTGTTGTTGTCCGATAATTTTCAAAAGGAAGGGTTTCTGATGATGGTTGTTCATTTGAACGAATTATGGATTCTTTTTCTATGAATAAATTAGAAAATCTTTTTTATAGCAGATGGACCGAAGTTAGGTTTCTCAAAGCTAAACATGTAATGTTTCTATATATAGCACAAGAAAGTGCCATGTATTCTTCACTTGATTGCTGCACTCTAAATCTTAAATTTTCTCATTCAGCCTTTTCACACAAACTTACTATGTCTCTTTGAACAGCAATTCAAATCTAAATCCGATCTGAGTTCGAACACAGTTTTGATTGTTTTGTTTTGATAAAATGAAACATACCTTGTAGTTAGCTAGTGTGTATGAGAAGCTCAATCAATTCAGTGCAAGAACTCTGCTTCAGGTTGGTTTTTTGTCCAGAACTACAACTAGTATTAGTTGTAAGGAAGATATCGAGCTATTGAATCTACCATTAAGCAGTGCCCCATACTAAAAAATAGTTGAAAGGCAGGAATACACTTCTTTTCAGAATTTATCTTATGAAAAGGCAAACGCCTATTCTTGAGAGAATAGAAACATAGTGCATGATACAATAACCAGAAAATCTAAGAGAACCGGCTCGATCTTTGAAGCAGTGTCATTCTGTCGGCCGTCAGACTGGATAAAATTCTGTCGCTTACAATTCTAAACTAGCTTATTGTGCATTTTTCAAATATAATATTATCTCATTTTTTGTTCGAGAGTAGTGAAGATATTTTTCAAAAGGTTCAAAAATGAATCAATAGACTTTTGCTAACACGTATAAGTTTCTTTTCGATGGTACAAGAAATTATCACAGTCACTCGTTCTTTCGAGAGAACATGTCTTTATAAAATGTTATATTGAACGAATCTGTGACGTTTATCTTTAGTGAAACTATAGGCACTTTACTAAGAGTTGTTTTCTATACAAAACAATATTCATGAACACAAATTTGAGTAGCTTCTGCTCTTCAAGTTCATGTACTAATAAAGATTTCAATATTTACTTTACGATTACAATAGTAAAAGTACAAAAATGTACGGAAGAAATTTTCCGTCCAGGCTCTTGATCAAGAAAACAGTTCAGCCTACATTCATAAAAAATACGAAATTCCGGTCATCATTCATAGCTTTTGATTCTTTGGAAACATTTTTAAGATTGTAAAAAATAAACAAACATTTTATTACTAAACTTTCAGTCCATCCATTACTTGTAATCGAGTCGTATGAATTCAAATGATAATTAAATATGAGAAATAATGGATGACAAAAAGAAAAGAATTAACTTACGTTTATTTTCTTTACCATCATAACTGTTCAATGTGCCAGTGTTTGAAATTTCTTCCGTACCTCTTAATAATGGTCGATGATACTGTTGTTGACGACCACCATTAATAATGCTTGTTGTAGTTGGTGTTAGTACATTATTATTTGTTGATGTTCCCAAACCTGAACTATTACTGTTCAAAATAGTAGCATAGGCTATAGGATTTGTTGATGATGGTGTTTGTTGAATATTATTAACAGCTATTGTTGGTATTATTGTTTGTGATATTTGTTGACTGTTCATTGTGGATGGAGAAAGAGGATTATTCACAGGAGGTGATGATGATGGAGGTGGCGGCGGCGGTGATGATGATACAATATTACCTGTAGGTAATAATGATGATGATGGCAATTGAGCTTGTGCTGGCTGATATTGTGATGGATCATGTGTGGTACTAAATAAACAACAACAAAAAAGACGAAAATCAATTAAACATTTGTTAAAAAAATAAATGAAAAAAAAAAGTTTTTTGTCGGTTCAGGCTAGACAAAGTTTTACAGCTGATTCAAAACAGTCATATGAAGCAAGTTTTTAGTTAAGTCTCTTTTTTTTTTGTTTTTTAGCAAGAAAATAGAAGATAGTCTTCTTTTTTTTCTTTATTTCTTTTAAAACACACAAGAATTCGTTCTCGATAATATTCGAGATCCATATATTAACTGATTACAAACATATCTTAATATAAAAATAAAAATAAAAATAATTTTTTTTTTAATACTAAAAAATTTTTTTTTTTAAACTAACCTCTGAAGTTTTTCTTGTGCATCTTCCCATTTAGCACTATGTTGATTATCACTACCTTCATCATCAAGATTATCATCTAATGATATCATCCATTGTGACATAACTGTTTGAGGTCCAGCTTTAATTGCATATGTTGCAGCCGGTATTGAAACAGCTTCACTATCACCTGTACGTGCTGTTAATTGTCTTGTTGGTGCTAATGCATCACTACGACTATTTGTTGTTCGAGTTGAACGTGGTGTTTTAGGTGGTTTGCCATGTTCAGTACCACCGGCAGATGTATGGATTATATTAGGAATTGAATTTATGCCTGGCGAAGGTGTTTCATCAACATTTGGTAATATAGTTGAACTATTTGGTTGATGATCAGTAAGACGTTCGGTACTTTTTAATTGATGCGAACGATTTAATGTTGATAGAACAGTACCAGTTCTTGGTTTACCTGAATCAGAATATGATACACTAGCTGGTGAATCTTCTTTACCAGTAGATTTTCCATTAGGTAATTTACTTGTTGGTGTCAATGGTTCACCAACAGTTGATTTTGATGTTGTTCGTCTTAAACGTTGTGATGAATCCGATATTTGTGCTGGTGTACTACCAACTGTTTTCCATGTTTCTTTATTAGTATTATTATTATTATTATTATCAATAGGAGTAGCTGTAAGTGGTGTACGTTGTTGTGATATGGATTGTTTTTTTGAAATTGAAATATCTTTATCTGTTGTATTTGCTGTTTGTTGTGGATTTGTAATAGCTGGTGCAGCAGCAGGTGATGATGCATAGGCACGTCGTGAATTTCTATCAAGACTTTTTGGAATGTTACGTCGTGGTGAAAATGGTGAATGATCAGATGCAACACCACTTTGTCTTCCACCACCATTTGAAAGTTTCCAGCGTTCATCAAATGTATCAGCTTCTGTAGCTTGTTGACGAAGATTCATTGTCGTACTAGCACCACCTGGTTGAGCTGTTAATATAGCTTTTGTCATTTCTCTAGAATAAAAAAAAACAATTAGTGCAAATTTTTATGGAATGTGAAACACAATGTAGCCGCTATCATAAATCATAGTGTTTGTTTTATTCTATATATCTTGGGACACATTTTTGCATCCTTCTTGACTTAATCTTCCAGAAATACAGTAAGAAAATTCTCAATGCACTGTAACTAGCAGTTATTGATATATGGTCTGTGATCATATATCTACAACGTTTATGATGGTCTCTGGAGATCGTCTGTCATAGTCTGTGATGATCGTAGGGAACTATATCTATCACAATCTGTAGAGAATGCAAATTTCTACTCTGTATACTTCGACAGTTCTTTTAGATTGTATTTCACAAAATTATTTTTGTTAAAAATTTTACATACGTTGAAACTTTATTATTGATACTAGTTAAAACAGGTTGTTGTTGAGGTTGTTGTTGCTGTTGTAAGGCTGAGTTTGGTGTTAATGATTCATCATCAATACCATTTGATTCTTTTTCCCAATCATATAAATCTGATTCTTTATATGCACGTCGAGCTATTGATGTACGAAATAAATTTTGTAAAAATTCATAATCAGGTTTATCTTCATAATGTAAGGCTTGTATATGTTCAAGAAATTGCTAAGACAATAAAAAAGAAAACAAAATTGTATTTAAAAAGAATTTTTTCTTCTCTTAGTTTTACTTTAAATTCTGATGGAAGACTTTTTAAAAAAATTGCATGGTCATATTTCTCTTTCATTTGTCCAACTTGTTCTTTATCTTTTATTCTTCTCCATGGTAATTGTCCTGTCACAAATTCAATAAGCATATAAAATAAACTCCATAAATCATCATGTCGACCCATTTCCTAACAAGAATAAAACACAAAAAATATTAAAAATTCTTTTTTTTGTTTCGTTAATTAAACCTTATTTTTATGTGCATTTATTGATGCATATCGTACAGTTCCACGAAAGCCAGCTTGTGGTCGAGCTGCACGAACACCACCTTCAGCATTTGTATATTTTCTTGCAAGACCAAAATCTAACATAAAAACTTTTCGACATGTTATTGGTAAACGTCCCATGGAAAAATTTGATGGTTTTACATCACGATGTAAAAAACCAATTGAATGTATAGATTCAATAGCTTGAAGAATTTGTATACTAATACGTAATGATGTTGATAAACTAAAACATTGTCGTGTTTGACTACGACGTAATTCAGCTAAATTTTTTCCTTGTAAAGTCATAACAACATAATTATATAATTCATTTGTTCCACCACCCAAAAACTTGCATACATGATCTTTCCCTTGTAAACGACGTAAAACTGTTACTTCCATTTTAAGTACTTGTTTAGCTTGTTTAGCTGATTCAAGTTTGAGTGCAACATTCTCTTTGGTAACAAGATCATAGGCTTCATAGATCTGACCAAAGCCACCACCACCAATTTTAGTAGTCTAGATTAACGAAAAAGGATTAGAAAAAAAAGTAGTACAATGTCACTATAGAAATCATTACAGAACGAAAGAGAAGAAAAAAAAATTCTTTTTTATCTAGGGTTGAAAGTTACTTTTTTTTCTTTCTGTAATACAATAGTTCAATTTTAAAAAATTCTATATTATATTTCGAGATTTCTTTGCATTCTTTTGTTTTCTGTTGAATAAGAAATGTTAATTTACTTACAACTTTCCATCGTTCTCGAACTATATTTCCTGGTTGAAGAAGATCTGCTTCGGACATGTTCAATGTCACCGTGCATACTGATTATAATAATTATTCTTAATCAACGACAGCATATATACAGAAAGATCTACAAAGAAAATAAAGCAAAATATGATATACAAAAAAAAAAAGAAGACAACAAAGAAATTCTTGTTGGGACATACGACAGAGGAAAAAAAGTAAAAAGAAGAAAAAGGTCGTCGTCACTCCCGATCAATCTTGCCTCATCCATACACAGCGAACGTTCTTTTTCGAGCGTCAATACTGTTTACGTAACCAAGCTCTGGCGGTGTGTGTGTATTGGATAGAGAATATATAGTAGTAGTTCTATCATGCCTACGACGATTGTCATCAATCAATTTTGATGAACCTCGTCCTGCAAGGTTCATTATTAAATACATGTATAAAGGTTCTTTTCTTAACACATAAGCAGCTGATTCGTATCACAACTAAGACTGTCTATTTACGAAACACAAATTAAATCTATCGAATAGCATGTTCGTTAAACATACATATATACACGTTCGACCGGATTCGTTGACATAGTTTCTTTTGGGCGGAAGAAAGCAAGGAGATATGCGTATAAGAGAATATAAGCGCCTACAATTCTTGATGTTGTTAATAACAAAAAGAGAGATTAATAACTATCGCAGATAGAAAAAAACGAGTTGTTTTTACTGCTTCATCAGTATGGTAGAATCAATAATAAAAAAAAAAACATGTGCCATTATCTATCAGCATAAAGACTGTGTAACAAGGACAATATATCATCAAATCAAAAAGAGAGAAAAAAAAACCGACGACAAACGAACAACACGAATATTCAGTCCGATTAAGTTGGTGTACGCAGTAGTAGTAATACTAATGGCCAGACGAAAGTAAACGATGAACCTCTTAGTACGCGCGTCGTGTTCTTTTTTTTTTTCTCCACCCCAACCAATTCTTTACGTATATATATTGTTCATCGTTTTCGTTCTGTCTGTCTGAGTATAGGCGGATAGAGCCGAAATTTGAAACGCTCGATGTGTGTTTCGTTTTTCGAGACTGAAAAATGAATGGACAGAAGAACAAAAAAAAAAAAAAAGATAGACCTAACGGTCAATAATAACAAAAAATAAATAATGCTTTTAAATATTCAATACTAAATATAAAATAGAAAAAAAATTAATATTACTTGTTTTTTTTTCTTTCCATTCTTGCATGATGACCTCGGTATTTATTTATTTTTTAAATAGTAACTAACCACACTCTATATCAAAGAAAAAAAAACCTACATTGTTGAATGAAAAAAATTCACAAAGCTTTTTTTTTTTCATTGAAGAAAAAGAAAAAAAAATCTATCATGACTATTGCAAACATTCTTTCCATAATCAACTTCTCCAAATGTCAAATATGATACGTGCACCTATATAGCAAATCAATAGACAAAAGCGTTTTTTTTATGATTCGTCCAATGTTTCAACGAATCATAGGAAATTTCGAGATCTGTTTGGCTTTCTTTATTTATATCTTTTAATTGAGAAAACAATAGCCACCCGATCAAAATGTCGAAAGAGAATACAAAAGGTATGACATGGAGTTTTTTTTAAATATTGATTTACTATTTTTTAAATAATCATTTAAGCTATTTTATCTTTTGACCAATTGAAAAATCTTCGTGAAGATTATCAAAAAGACAAAAGAAATCTCGTGGCTCAATCGGCATGTTGTCAACAATCACTTACAGATATTATTGTCAATCGACAAACACGTTTTTCATCAGTTCATGTATTCAATACAAAGGTATAAACAGAGAGAATTTTTCTTTATCTTCTAGGAAGATTATTTCAAAATGTTAAGTCTATAAAAACAAACGTTCACTTTATTTAAAGTGCAAATTCAGCGTCAAATGTAGAATTGTTAGAAACAAAAAAAAAATCATTCTAGAAACATCTACGAAATAGCTAATTATTGCAAGCGTTGCTTTTAAATATTTCAAGTACATGATGATTTTATTCAGAGATATATTTCACACAATTTATGATTAAAATTTATAAAGTTCAATATAGTTGTTTTGAGGATTTAGCGATATTAGATATTAGATGAAATTTATTTAAATCCGATATTTAAATGTCTACTGAACAATTATGAGTAATGTAGACTCAATTTTTTCGAGGACACAATAAACTTTTGGATGAGCTCATTTCACTTGAACTTAATTTATTATTAGAAACAAGGTTTGTTCAAAATAGTTTAGCAAAAACGTCAGATTTATTTTTCTTCGTTACTTTGGGCCTACTCATCAGTGAGTTCACATCTTGAAATGTCATCTAAAAAATTCCGTGACATTTAAAAAGTTATTCAGTCAGCCTCACCTTCAATATATTTAATGTGTGTATATCGGATGAAATATTTTTACTCTACTGAGTAGAAAAGTCATGAACAATGTAAAGAACCAATTGCTAAACCTTCTAGAATTAGTGTGCCGCGCATGTAAATTTTAATTTTAACTTTAATCTTATGAGAATTAGGTTTGTAACTGAACAATAACGATTAAGCTAATCTTTCGGTCTTCTTTCTAAAGTTATGGCTGTAAAAATCGATACTTCTTTCTCAAGAGACAGAATTTTCTTGCAATAATTGATTTTCCTAATCTTCTTATGAAATATGGGTGATATTTGAAAATTCAATATCTCGAAAAAAAAGGAAGCATTAGTTTTGGTAGAAATTCTCAGGATCTTCTAAAGGTGGTTATGCATGCATATGAAGACAATACCAGTTCGAAAATTGATCTTGAAATGTCTCCATCAATGTTTTTCTTAGACACTACAAACTCGTTACAACAGCTATAATGTTGTCAAGAAATACTCGAAGGTCTTTGTTCTTTCAGACTTTGACTAGTTTCACTAACACCTTAAATACAAGATTAATTCACTTAGTGTAAGTTACTTGGAAATCTTTACTTGTTAGCCATCTTTGTGATTTGATTGAGTAGGAATGAACTAATTCCAGTTTCAATTCTTGGCTTGGAATTGGAGTTGTTCGGAATTGGTTTTTGTAGAATTACTGATTTAGAGTAAACACAGATAAATTCATAGGGAGTTCGAAATTTTTTAAACCAATCCCAAACCAATTCCAACTCCAGTGCAAGCCAATTCCGACCTATTCTAAGAATTGGAATTGGGCATCTCTACGGCTGAGTTTGATTTATGAGCTGTATAAAAGTTCCTAAATAAATTTTGAACTTTGAGAATATCTCGATTTACGTCAACTATGAAAAAAACGAACGTTACATTTACTATAGATTTTCAGTACATATGTATGAGTTGAATGTTGAATGAAGAATTTTGACTAACGAAGGAAATCCTTCAACTTATTTATTGAGATTAAATTGGCACTATGTGCATTATGTAAATCCTAATAGGCTATGAATATTCTGACCTTCAAAAAAACTTATTTTCGAATTTCAACTTAGAATTTTGTGTAGAAACAAACTTTAGCGAGAATAGTTTATTGTAAAAATTTCAGATATTTTCGTTGTTCCTATTCTAAGATACAACTATGATAAAAGCGCATCTTTTACATCGTTCATTTATACTTGCAGATTCGATATCCTTATTTTAGAATATAAACAGATCAAATAGTCTGATACTTTCACGATTAACTATTCTCCTGAAGGCTTGTTTCTATATAACATTTCAAGTAGAAATCCGCAAACCTGCTGTCTTGGAGGGGAAACATAGCATAATATTGAAAAATATTTTAAAAATACAATATGTCGGCAACAATAAGTTATATGCACAAACTCTTTTTGGAATATTTATAATCTATTGAGATCTACCTAAAGTACATGCTTCCAACTCAAAAGCGATTAATCAGTTAAGGAAGTTCATCCTTAAGACTGAGTTTAGCAGAAACCAGAAATGTTAAATATGCGGAGAGTACATTTTCTTATTATGCCATGCGTTGTAGAGATGGAATCGGTATTGATCACGACGAATCCGATATGCCCTAGTCAGACCGATTTCATTTCTGATGTGTTGTATGATTTAAAATTATTTAATTTTTATCGAAAATCATGTCTTTTTTTTGTTTTAGCTATCGGTCGAAGGCCGTCCTGTAACAAATCAAAAAGCTTCAGGTCGCTGTTGGATATTTGCTGGTTTAAATGTAATGCGAATTCAATTGATGAAATCACTTAAAATTCAAGAACTAGAATTCAGTCAAAACTATCTTTTTTATTATGATAAAGTTTGTCGATTTGTCTTACTGTTTTAATAAATATAAATGCTAATATTTTAATCTAGATTGAGCGATGTCATTATTTTCTTATGTCAATGATTCAATTAGCAAAAAAGAAAGAACAAGTACATGGTCGACTTGTGCAATATCTTTTACAAGAATTACTCATTGATGGAGGTAAACACATCTAAATTTAAATCATTTCATCAAAATACGAAAACTTCATTTTAATTTAATGAAATAAGGTCAATGGGATATGTTGGTTAATTTAATAAATAAATATGGTGTGATACCAAAAAATGCTTTTCCTGAAAGTTCATCATCTGAAGCAGCTCTTCAAATGAATAAATTTCTTCGTACTAAAGTATATTTATTTAATAACAATATAATTAATGGCAATGTATCTTTTATATTCCTAATAGTTACGTGCATTTGCTCAAGAAATTTTTGAATCAGTTGAAAAAGGAAATACCAACGATAGTGATTTGATGAATCGTGAAGCTGAAATGATGAAAGAAGTAAGTTTCATGGTTTTTTTTTATATAATATTAAATTACACGTTTCGTTTTAGCTTCATCGAATTATTACGACATGTCTTGGTTCACCACCAGAACAGATCACATTTGAATATTATGATAGTTCAAAACAGTATCAAAAAATTGGTCCAATTAGTCCAATTGAATTTTATAGGCAAATTGTTAAACCAGTCTTTAATGTGGATAATAAAGTAATTCAAAATGAAATAATCGATCAATTTTATAATGCTTAATAAGATAAATTTTGAATTTATAATTAAA